TGAATAGATAAGATAATGGCTGGAGACGGCTTAAATTTGAATAGATCGAATTGAATAGATAAGATATATAACATATACATGTGTGTGTGAAAAAGAACAACCTATATTAACATCTAACATTTTCGTTTTCGAATTCGATGACGAGGAACCCACTTTGAGACTAATAATGCTTGGAGACAGCTTGAATGGGTAATGAAGAAAAACTTTAATATAAGTTTAACACAACAGCAAATGTACAACGTTTCGACAAGGTTTTGTCATCATCAGAATAGATAGATAGATAAACCGATATGTAGCGCCATCTAGTGTACTTAAATTCATCTAGAAAATTTCATAAAAGTGACCCGAAAAACGTGGCTAACTCGGTAACCCGTGGCCCGATTTTAACGAAACTTGTTTCATTCTGTTTCTATTCTCATTTCATTACAAATATGGTGCTATTGTGTGCCGTTTTTGCTGTATTTAATTATAGACAAGCAAACACACAAACAATCTCAGAGTTTTAGTAATATATATAGATATTAAGGTAATTTTCAAAATCTTAATAATGGGTTGCCACATCTTAGCTTGATGTTTTATGTGAACAGGATGGACTCAGCTGTGAACCACGCTTAATCTTGTCGTTATATTATCAGTACTAGAAGTATATCTGCTTTTATGTGTCCAATACATCAGAGAAGTCGTTAATTACTTTTTGACGACACCTAGCTTACTGAATACATGCAGAGATAAACAGGTAGAAGAATCTGTTTTATCCTTAATTCTCCTGACGTAGGTGACATGGCGTTCTGGGAAGTCCTGGAAGACTTGAAATTTGATAATATTTCTGAGCAAAGCTATGGCTTTGCCAGATTTTACCTTGGTTTTCGTCCAGTGTAGTCTGCTTGAAATGCTAAGTTGGTATTGTGTACACAGAGACACCAGGCGTCTCCAAGAAACAAACAAACATCAGGAGAGTTTGTTGAATGAAATACATTATTTGGTTTCAAAAGGAACAAATGCGTTCAGTTTCTGTTTCTTTCTGGTTGAGTTTGACTTATGCTTACTCTACGTTTCCATTAAACCTCTTGTTTCTGAGATTTTAAATAAGTTACTTGTCAGTTAATTTTCACCTGAGAATATCTCAGAAACAGTTGGATTAGAATGGATCTCGATATTGTTTTAACGGAATGGATCTCAAGATTCATTCTAATCCCACCTTTCGTTAAAACAACCTCATTATATCACTACACTTAATTCAAGTTGCTTTTGTTAGTTTATTTATATAAGTTCTAATTCACTTTCGTTAAAACAATCTCGGGATCCATTCCAATCCTGCCTTTCGTTAAAACAAACTTAAAATCTAACATGTTTTATTTATGTCGCTTATGCTATGGTTACATTTGTACGAGAAAGATTTGAACACAACCATGTTTTCCCCACTTTCTAAGATTCGTAATTTACCAGTTTCAATGATATAATTTTCTGTCTTGCCAACATATCTCGCTAATATGAATTTAACAGTAAGTCTCATTGCAAGAGTCCAAGTTGTAAAATGATTTATTGATTTTATCAGCGACCTACCAAAACCGTATAATTTGTGGAGACGTTGGTGAAGAGGACAGAAATGAAGAAGAGATAAGTGTTATAGTTGCAGGAGGACGATACGGTTGGATAGATACTGAACACGCCCCCTGTCGGTCACTTAAGGAGTGCAAGAAAGTTGGTATGGTTTTTTATTGTAAGCATAAAGTTTGTTTTACAACGATTATAATAACAAAAATTGTTGTATAACGCGGACGATAATAAACTGAAAAGATGCATTTTGTAAGTATGAGACTGTAACTATAAAATAAAGGCTATTTACACATATAAAATAGGATGGATGACTGTAAAAATAACTGCATAATTTAAAGATTACATGTTAGCTACAATTATAAAAGTAGAGATGAGCCTCAATTAAAATTATAATTATTTTTCACGTAATTAAGGGTAAGTAAAATAGCAGATTACCATATACAGCGTAAGAATTAAATTCACTTCAAAACTAGGGACGGCTAACGCAGGTAGCCTTTGAGTAGCTTTGTGCAAAATTCAACAAACAACCTATTCAAAATACGCTTCCTTGTTAGAAACACAACCTTCTTGTGACGTTAGTAAATTTTTGTGGTTTTAAACAAAAGGTGTTTTTCTTACATTTGGCTGATAACAAGATTCCTTCTTTGAAACTATTATTCAGATAAAAAATATCAAATTTTTCACACATGCATAAGATTAGCTCATTGAGGTACTTCGAGTTGTTTTAGTACCTAAATTAACACTTATTGTTGAAAAAAGAAGTAGACCGGGCGTGGCCTACTAGTTAACGTGCCTGGCCCATGAATTCGAGTATTTATGGTTCGTGGTCAGTTGGTATTTGTTTAATTTCACGTAAGGCTACTCGACGTCTATCTGCACTAGCCGTCCCATTATTTAAGTGTTATACTAGAGGAGAGGCAGCTATTCAATGCCATCCCATCGCCAGCTCTCGGGCTAATTTAATCGAATAGTGGGATTGACCGTCACATTATAATGCCTCATGGCTGAAAGAGCGAACATGTTTGGTGATGGGATTCTAGGCTGTGATCCGCATATTGCGAGTCGAACGTCCTAATCACCAGGTCATGTCAGGCCTTAAAAGTTTGTTTCTGTTGTAGCGTAAAGATTACAATAGGCTATATATGCTCTAGCCTTCACGGGGAATCGAACCACGAATTTTAGCATTGTAAATCTGTAAGCTCACTTCTGACCCACTAGGGGACTCAGCTACCGTAATAACGCGTTCCGAAGTTTGGGGCCGTGGGCATGTTATAAGAGTGACAGTGAAATCCCACTGTTCGGTTAGACAGGAGTAGCCCAAAACGTGGTAATGGGCGCTGTTGACTAGCCGTCTTCACTCAGATCAATCATTCAAAAGTTAGATAGCCCTCATATAGCTTTGGGTGAAATTCTCAAAGAAATCAAATCGGAACCTGATCTGTAACATAATATAACGCCATTATAATATAAACTGAGTAACTCATTTCGTTACTCAAAGTGCGTTTTTTAAGCAGCTGCTTATTATGTATGTTTCCAATTAATATGATTGTCAAACATTCTCTAATTTAGAAAACCTTCTAAGTGATGAAGATCAACTACCGATTCATGTTTATTCCTTGCCAAAAGGTCAAGCTGTAGTAGGGGGCGTTGTTTACCGAGGTACGAATATAAGGTCGCTCCAAGGCCTTTATGTTTACGGAGATTTCGTTCACGGGTAAGCCAAGGATATTTTTTTTATTTACTTTTTTATTATAAACCATGAAATACTCGTGTTTACTTTCGCCTCAAGTATTGGTCACTTAAAAAAAATATTCCCCCCTTTTAACAACTTTGGTATGTAAGATAGGACTATTCATTGAACTAATCTGTTTGTTTATAGAGCAAAATCACATTGGGCTATCTGCTATGTCCATCGAGGGGAATCGAATTCAGGACTTTAGCGTTGTAAGTCTTAGACTTACCGAGGGACGAACTAATCTGACGCCCCCCAGTGGCACAGCGGTATGTCTGCGGACTTACAACGCTAGAAACTGGTTATCGATACCCGTGGTGGGCAGAGCACAGATAGCCCATTGTAAAGCTTTGTGCATAAATTCAACCAAACAAACAATCTGACTGCAATTTAAAGTCATGGACGTTTATTAGTGGGGTTTGTGAATTTATTAGAACTACTAAAATAATGTAGTTGTACATACAGAAGTTAGTTCAATATTTTAAATTAGGGATTCGGCATTTATGTATTGCAATTAAGAATGGATTCAACCAACCAACGGTTTTCCTAAGGAAAATTCAGAATTGTACAAATGTCCAAAAGATAGTCCCTTCCCATACATATTTGTTGATCAGAAAATAACTTACTTGAGTTAGAAAATTTGAGCCCACATCGATTTCATTCTGTGTTCATAACCGAATTAAATTAGCATGAATGGTAAAAGCTGCGAAGTTAAGCTAGAACAACAGCACAGGTATGTTAGTATAATCCACATATTTGTAGTCATTTCTATAGAAAAAGTTAGGTTTTTCTCGCGACAGTAATTTTTTTTTTTCGTGTCGCAATGTCTCTAACATACTTTTTGACAGTATGAACTGTTATGTACAACTAAATCCAAATGAACAGGAAGAAAAAACTTAGCAGTAAAGACAGTTTAGTGTTGTCGTAAAATGCGATCTATGAGGAGGTAGATGCGAGAAAACAAACTGAACTTTTCACTGAGAAAATATTGTACAGTTTGGCTTCCTGGCATGCACTCGTTGTGTTCTTTCATTATTCCGAAGAAAAGGCAGCTAATGGATTTCTTCGCTTCCTTACAAACACTGACAATCTTGAATTGCTGTCGTTTATGGTTGATACACTCACTGTCTTCTCCCAATATCAACAGCAACTCCAATGTGGATCCTTAGCCATCCTGGATGGAATAGGCTGACATCCCAAGTGAAGCTAAAACTTAGTTCAATGAAAGGGACACTGCTGCTAGGAGATTGGGTTGCTATACTGAAAGTGCAGAAGGAGCAAAGTGAGGAGAATGGACAAACACATTGGAGCAGATGTCAGAACGACGGACATCTGAAGGATGTGCAACTTCACCTCAGGACGCAAAAAACGAACATCACAGGTTTGTCAGGAGGACAGGATAGATCCACAAACAAGAATGAAAATATATGCACTACCGCCACTTGTGTTTAAATTTTTTTAAATTATAATAAATAATTAAAAACAACGTTTTATATTTACACAATAAAAACTTTATTGACGTAGATCACGTCGAAACATGTACTTGTAGAGAGATATTTTAAAGTGGAAGCCGTACAGCTTTAATAAAGTTTTTATTGTGTAAATATAAAACGTTGTTTTTAATTATTCATTATAATTAAAAAAAAGTATTCTTATTATCAGTATTAATACCCTCAGAATAAAAAATATAGTGCTACAAGAACAGTATACAGAGAAACAGGTGAATGCTAGTTTATAATATACTGCACATGTGCCAATGTCTCTTATTCTAATGGATAACCACAACTACTTATTTGACTTAAAGATTTACTCTGTCACATGAGGTAGTCCTACCAACTTGCAACTAAATATAAAAATTGGTGAGCGTGTTCACTATGGTAACTGTATGAGAGTAAAATGGGTCTTACTGAATGCAGAGGACAACATAATTGTAATCGACCTCCCCGCTAATCATAACATTTTAATAAAATATTGTCATTAATAGCTGGCAATTAGATCACTTTGTGTGACTAAACGAAGTTTCAGACTAGATGTAGAGTTTTGAAACAATGTATATAGTATAGCCGTAGCACTGAATTTTCAATGAATGACTTACAATTACTGGGTACAGTGGGATTACGAAAACTTTTTTTTTTTTACTGATTTGGCCTTTTTTTTTGGATTACACTGAAATAAATGCAGTTAGTTAAGCTATTGTTTATATTGATCTTTTTCTTACGAAATTTTAGGGTAGAAGTCAAAATAATTTCTTGATTATTAATTACTGATTAAAAACAGTGTTTTTAGACTAAGACATTAGTTTACAATTTCAAATTAAATTTACAATGCAGTAATATCAAAATTTCAAAACTGTAATGTTGTTAGACATTCCGGTTTAATGTTTGATGAAAACATTCTTGCTTGAAATATAAGTTATGCAGTTTAGTACAAGCCAATGAATATAGTGTATGAAAATAAAATAGTTTTTGCTCAAATGTAATGTTTATTCATAAAAATAAATTATGACTAATTTAATTTATGAACATTTCATGTAAAAGAATAAGTCGACAAACAGTAAAATGAATAATTTTTATGTTAAATCCAGTTTTCATATAGAAATATGTTACTGAAGAATCCTAATGGTGATACTGATATGCTTTAAGCGGTTATCCATTTGTATGAAGGTTTGTATAGGATGATAAGTTACTGCGGTTAAAAATATGTGAATCTTTATTATGTTTATTAACTGTTTATTTGCTCGATTTTGGTTAAATGCAAATCTAAACAATGGATTATCCTGACTTTTAACATTATAAGTCCACAAGCTTAACGCTGAGTTTACGGCTGGGAGAACTAATCGTATATAATTTGTATTATTTTGGAAACAATAATGAACTTCAAGAAATTATTTATTATATTTTGTTCGCTGTAACAAAGTAAAACTAATGCTCTGAATCTTGTATGCGCGTGAGCATGTCTGTTATTATGCTTCTGACTACTTTTTATCAGAATTCAACTGCGCAACAACTTATCAAAGCGCATGCTTTAGTGATAATAATAGGCCAAAAGCTATAAGTGCAACATGTACTTATATTGTTATAGACGTCATAATACCTATCATGAAAAAATACACATCTCAACACAAAAGTGTGATACCTACGTACATTTATGCCAGGGTTAAGAGTACATTTTATATAGATACTGAGTTTATCAGACAACTTTCATCCCCCACACACATATATAATCTATATACATTATTGTTTCTAAATTAGTATAAATAGACAAGATAATCTCAAAAATTTCAAATTACGCTGATAACGGAGCTATATGCATAAAAATTAAAATATACATTTACCAGTACGTTTTTGATGATCTTATTTCAAAACTAGACTTGGAAATGAACATTAATCAGTTATAAAAATCAGTGGATTGGTTAACTAGATACTGGCAAATAGGCGAAATATTGGAAGGGCGTTGTTGTTATTCAGCCTTCCCAGTTCTTGAACTATTTGATAGTTTCAGGTCGTCAGAAGTTAGAGTGAAAGGCAAAACCCATGAAATTAATTCTCATACATGAACTTCATATCAGACCACTCCACGCGTAAGACTCTGACTTTTTTTTTTCTGACGAAGCATGTTTTCCACGTGAACTGACGTCAAACAAGTATGTCAGTTGCTGTTAGGAAGTTCAGAGAGTCCATTTAAAGCTATCCCTATTTATTTGCAGATCAAAGGATTTCCACTTAAGTTATTTCAAGAGACGTACGAGAACTGGGAGATACCTTTCTCTGTATAATGTTCTTTCTTCTCGCCTTTCCTGCACAAGAGGTAAACAATCGAAATGATGCATTTGCTATTGAGTGAAGGATAGCGACAGAGAATATAATCAACATGCTATGACCGTAGACTGGCAGAAAAAGAAAAGCAATATGTTGATTCAGATGCTTCGAGCTATAGCGAAATATGAAATATTTTCTTTAATTTGCATTGTGATATTCGAGATTTAAATGAACACAACAAAAGCTAAGACGGTTTGTTCACTTGGAATGGATTATTATTGGATGTGTGAAATGTAAAATTGATAGAACACGATATTAACTCTCAATATGAAATTCCAAGAAGAGAGATGACGACCAAAAACTCCATTCGTAAAATATTCGAAATCGTTATGCGAGAGAAACTTCATGAAGGGACTTTTGGGGAGTTAGTGATTAAAAATAGTCATTGGAAATAAATACTGATGCCTACCTCTTTATAGAAAGCTGTTAATATGGGTAGTTTATAACTTGATCTGTGTTGCCATGTGAACGTTTTTGTAAAGAAAAACAATTGTTTCATAATTACATATGTAATTCTAGTTTAATTATGCAAAGATGTAAAGTGGCGGTTTTATTTAATAATATAAGAAGTACCTAAGGAGAAACTTCGTTGTTTTATTGTAGACTTATTTTATCCTTCATCAACCTAGTGCTTGTATTCACTATTTTACAGATGGTCCTGTATAGTTTTCTAAAACTAACAATTTGAAATTTTGTAGAAATAGGTAGCTGGACAAAATACAAAGGTGAGCATGGTGGATGTTGATCTTTTACCTTTACCTTTGTATTTGATACTGTAACGAATTTATTATTATATATTTATTTTAATACCAACGTTTTTTTACATTAGATTTATATTGAGAAACATAATAGTCTATACTGTTAAATATGTATTGCGAAATTCCCGTCTATTCTCCAAAGTTGTAAAAGATTATCGAGAGTAAGAATCAACAATATATGTGTGTACGTAAACGCTTGTGTCAGCGTCAGTATTGTTACGTAAAACTGAAATATCTAGAAACTCTCCTCACGCCTATCAATATAACCAACGCGACGCGCCAAAACAGTATATATTATTAGTTTTCTATAGTCAGTGTACTATAAACTTCGGAAGTTATAACTGTGATTGTTATAACACTTATTAATTGGAAAAGTTTAGATATTTGACCAGAAGCATTTACAAATTATTTAACTTCAGTGGATTCTCATCGGACATTTGTACTTTTACGAAAACATTACCTAACTTCAATGGTGGAAAACTCGGCATGTGTGGCTGCTGAATAACGAAGGACAACGCTAGATAGCTCCCCGTTAAGCGAATTGTACCTACATCAACTCGCTCATAGTGAATCCTCGAGAAGATATCAAGGAAGTTCCAGACTAGAAAGAATACTTTATATTGCTTGTAAGTTTGTGAAACTTTTGTTTATAAATCATTGTTTGTAATAACTATTTGTAATAACTGTTATTGTAAATTGTATTGTTGTCTGTATATTAAAACGTATTTGTGTTAAAAAAGAAGACAGTGTGTATCAATCTTATTGATACTTACTTACTTAACTGCTAAATCTAAAGTACTATTTAACTACTAAATCTAAATTAGAAGTTAACTCAATTTCAGAATATTTGAAATTCTAATACGTAACATAAAAATTGGAGGATCGTGTCCAAGATTTAAATCAGAGACAAGATTCAATCTAAATTAAAATTTAAATCACAATTGAATTTATAGTTATCAGTGCTAACAATATTTTATCATGTCTGATTATCAAGATTTTCTTGAATCACTTTCCCTCGAATAGCTAGAAAGATAAAACAAAAGTGAATTGCTCGAAATTGCCAAAGTTTTAGAACTAAAAGTTAAAAGATCAATAAGGCAAAATTAACTAAAAAAGTGTATTATCAAAATGCTAGTCGATGATGATTTGTTGGCTGAGGAATCATTAGAGAAATACTCTAGTGTACCTACTAGCCAATCGGGGTTTAGTGATAAAGATAAATTAGAGATCCAGCTAAAACTCAAACAACTCGAGACCGAACAAGCTCGTATTGAAGCTGAAAGAGAAAATAAACGTCTCGAGGCCGAAAAAGCTCGCACTGAAGCCGAAAAAGAAATTAGATTGAAAGAAATGGAAATTGGACTCAACTCCGATCGACCAAGGCAAAATAACAACTTTGAACTTAGTTAATCGATATGTTGATAAATATTTCCAACATTTTGAGAAGGTTGCCCAAATGCTATTGATTTGGCCTCTGATATAAAGGCTGATGTAAACAGGGAGGGATTTAGATCTTTTGTGCCTCTTGGTTCTGTGTCTTTGACAAATGACACTGGCAATCCCATACCCATATGTATTCTATGTAATACTGGGGCGACTCAATCATTGTCTTTAGAAGGTATATTGCCTTTAGATTCGAGTTCTGCCACTGGTGAGTTAGTTATTGTTCAGGGTATTGAGGGTGGCTTTGTTAATGTTCCTCTTCATAACATTTATTTAGATCAGACCTAGTTTCGGAACCAGTTGTGGTTGAGGTAAGACCTACTCTGCCAATTAAGGGTGTATCATTATTGTTGGGAAACGATTTGGCTGGAGGAGAAATTATGCCGAACTTAAAATGGTTAGCAAGCCGATCACTGTTTCATCTAAGGACGATGTTGTCGTTGAAGAGAATTCCGATGTTTCCCTCGAGCTCAGGCTAAGAAATTAAACCAAAAACAAATGTTAGACATGGATTCAGATGACGATATTATAGATTTGTCTCGGACATTTTTCGGATCCGACGAGGATCTTGTGGATAATTGTCCTACTGATGATTCCTCTGTGAGGAACAACGATGGACGTAAGGGATCTAATTCACCTGGTGAAGTTCCATTTACTAAAAGTAAACTGATCGCTGAGCAACAAAAGGATCTGAAGATCTCTTCACTATTTAAGTTTTCACTCCCAAAAGATGAACTGGAGAAAGTTACAAATGCTTATTTTTTTCAAAAATGGTGTGCTTATGAGGAAATGGAGACCACCAGATGTGCCAGTTTCAGAGGGCTGGGCTACTGTTTATCAAATCGTTGTTTCCAAAGTATATCGTTCCGAAATGTTGAAATATTGTCCATGAACTCACATGGGAGGTCATTTAGGTGTCAACAAAACATGTGACAAAATTATGAGACATTTCTTTTAGCCAAAAATTAGGCAAGATGTTTCTCAATTTTTTTAAAACTTGTCATACCTGTCAGTTGGTTGGAAAATCTAACCAGAAAATTCCTGTTGATGCTTTGAATCCTATCTCAGCTTTTGAAGAACGAAGTTTTGTCCTGAGGACATGGTCTTAGTATTGTTACCCACTATGGGATATCTAATCAAAAAAAGAAAAAGAAAGAAAGCGAGAAAGAAAGAAAGACAGAAAGAGAAAGAGAGAAAAAAGAAGACAGAAAGAAAGAAAGAAAGAAAAACAAAAAAAAAGGAAGAAAAAGAGGAATTTGATACTTTCTCTTAAACATTGAAAACAGTATTCAGAATAATAACAAAACGAATTTACCAATAAAAGAATATTTATTGGAACTGAGCAACACGAAAGTGTTAATAGTGTTTTTAATCCCGATGTATTTAACATGAAGTTTTCTTCTTTAAAATGAACTAAGATAAAATTGGTAGTTTTCTAAGCAGTGTAATATTTCTCTAATGTTTTGCAATTGATGTAAATTTCACTTAAAGGAATCTGGTTCTTATTTTCTTCGAGTTACTTTTTCCTACTCTGCAGTATCAGGATTCAAATACATTTTCTTACTGAAGACGTAAAACCTCAAAATGAAGATAAACAAAAAAAAACCTGAATAAACTTTTGTCAAACTATTATTCTTTATATTATAATATTATTTTTTTAGGAATAACAGCAAAATATTTGAACTTTATTAGATAACTAAAAAAGGAACCCAATGATAATGGTTTTATAAAAATAATTTTATGTTAATTTGATTTTATTCAATATCAATTGATGAAAATCAATTCTAATTTAACTCCATCTGTAGGAAAACCCCTATAACGAAATTTTGAAAAAAAACAACAATAACACTGATTATAGGAATCGACAATTACGTAGGTTTGAAGTAAAAAAGAATACCTTATTCACGCTCGTCTGAAAAGAAACATTTACAACAATACGAACTCAATGTAGTCCCAACAACAGCCATATTAATTTATCAATAACTAGCTGGAGTATTCCTCCTCTGTACGGAAGTTATGTAATTTCATGATTAATGAAAGGTTGTCTTAGGACATGAAAAGTTATGTAATTGTAAACAAAAATGCAAAAACACCCATAAAAACCGCTAAATACAAAATGTGAAACCGCAATTTTTTCATGTATCTCCGCATTGACCCAAAAAACTTTCATACCAGATTTTGTGAAGATCCATCAACAGGGGGCGACGTAGTGGTAAAAAACAAACAAAAAAAAACGCCCATAAAAACCACAAAACGCAAAATTCAAAACTGAAAATTTGTATATACCTCCCATGGACCTAATTAACCTCCATACCAATTTGGGTGACGATCTATCCACACCTTGTGAAGTAGTTACATGGATATACAACAGACAAAAACAATGCTATTATATTTATATAGACACGTGTATAAATAACAAATAAATCTTAAACAATAGTTAAGTTTTCATTTTGAATTTCAATCAGATAATCATATTTTTAGAAAAACATTTAAGTATTTGCTTTTCAGGCGTACATGGTATACATTTATTTAATCAGCTTGTTTCAAACGATGTAAAAGCGAAAATAATGATTTATTTTAAACTTACACAGAGGAAAATTTCCAAACAGAAGTAAATCATAATGATATTTTATAGACTTTTGAAAATTAAATTTACTCTGCAAATTTTGGTTTAAAACTTAACGTAAGATCGTTCTGTTTACAAAGTCGTTCTGTTACTTTAATCTGCTCCCCCCCCCCCCCAGTGGCACAGCAGTATGTCTGTAGACTTACAACGCTAGAATCCGGGTTACGATACCCGTGGGGGGCAGAGCACAGATAGCCCTTGTGTAGCTTTGTGCATAATTAGAAACAAACAGAAATACTTTAATATAGAAGTTTCTTCTGCTGAGCTGCTACTGGTACAACAGTTGCATAAGAGTTGTATTTGATATTTCCTTGGTACTTATGCATAATGTTAGAATAATAAATAAGAAACACACAACGTTAAAATCAATACATAATTAAATGTGTTGTGTGTTTCTTATTTATTATTTTAAGAGTTATATTTGTTGCAAGAAATATAAATAAAGGAAAAACAAAAAAAAAACGTTTTGATGGTTGGACCTCCCCGAATATTTGTAAAGCTCTGCCAGTGTAAAATAAACGTACATCATATAAAATATATGTATTTAAAGAAGTACTTATAACACGAAATACCTGACTTTAGTTTTTTAAATGTTGTCTAAAAGTATATTAACTGTTATGAATGTTAATAATATTACGAATAAATAATTACATTTAGATTTAAGTAACTTTGCAAATATCTTAAATGCTACAAAACCACGAGCTACAAGTCTATTTGTATTCCAAGAATAAATGTAACCTCCAAGGCTAAAATTAAGCCATGAGAAACCATAATTGTTAAAGACTAAACGTTTATGTGTATTTCAATGTATGCGGAAAGGACAGGACTGCTCGTATACGTACAACAGCTACTAAAACAATTTTCAACATATGTAGGTAGTTTGCTTTCATCAGGAGTAAATATTAATTTTTTACAACTTAAATTGTAAATTAAAAAAGGATTAGTTAAAACATAAAATAATGACTTCGGCTATTGTCACTTGAGATCAATTATAAGTTTGTATTGTTCACATTTAAAATGTATTTCACTCTCTGATTAGCTCATTAGGATTTTCACCTAATTTTGATTTATTTCCTTTGGATGTCCTTCAAATACTGGTCATTATTTAACGAATCAGTCAGCTAGGACTGACGCATTTTGTACACCAGAATGTTATGAATCATCTTTTTTTCCTAGGTTGTCGGCAACAATTTTTTTCTGTTGATCGATGTATAAACTTTTGATTTTCAGTGTTAACAGACCTGTTGGCAGATGTTTTTGAACGCAGGTAAATAAACGATCTCCTTATGATAAATGAGGACCTCGTATCACATCTATTTGGAAGTCAAGATGATCATCAGTCTTATATATTTTCCTACAAACTAACCACGATGTGGCTGCGTCTCTGCATATATATAGAAGTCAAGTAATAGCATGAAACATTATATTATCACATTATCCTTTATATGCAAGTAAATGGAGTGTTTTACAAGTCTTTAGCCTTAGAGGAAGTTCAATAAAATGGTCAGTCACCTTGCAATGTATTTATAAGTAATGATTATGTTATTCAATACATTATTGTATCTTATTTATAAATTTTCAAAGAAAATTATCATTTAGCATTAAACATCGCCTGGTAACCAAATTCTATATCCATTGTAATTACATCTACAATAACTGCAATAGTAAGGTAAGTTTTAGTTACTGCAAAACCAAAATCTCAGTGCCTCAAGTGGACAAATATTTCTCGTAATGTCAGTATATTAATATTATCTTATCACTTTTGCAACCATCATTGTCTTCATGCTAAGGTCTTCCTAACTAGCTATTGTCTTTTGTTGTGGTATTTCTATCAGGATGGTACACTCACAATGAACAAGCATTTATTTAGTTAATAATCGAGTGATCGAGGAATCTCAGAAATCATAATATTTTAGTTAATAGTTAAACTAGTAATGATACACAACATAAGGTTCCCACACTGAAGCTTCATTTTATTGAATGACAATGTAAGGAGCTAAAACAGGTCTTAGATTAAGCAGTTGACGACAGATACAAATTCAGCAGCGCAGCTTTAACTTATAATGAAAGATCACAAAAATCACAGATAGTGTTTCTCAAGTAGACAATATTACATTGCTTTACAATGGAAGAAGAAGAAGTGATTCTACAAAATGACAAGAACTGAGAACTGGCGTGCTTATTGGTTAAGGGATTTTAGAAAAATCAGAAAAATACTACGTACTTCCAGGTACTGAAAGAGCGCGAGAAAGAACAGCCAATCATATACAAATAACTGTGATCATCACGTTATTCTCTATAATAAACGTTTTAAATTATATGAGTAGAGGCTTCTAGGAGAATTTCTAACCCACATGCTAACCCAGTTGTTAACATTAAATACAACCAATATCGATTATGCTGCTCTTTCTCCTAACAGCTGTGTTTGTTTGTTTCCGTTGCATAAGAAAGAGTAAAGAATAGAGAATTTAGATAAATTCTTACATATTTAAAAAGTATATGTATCTTAGGTTATGTAAAGTAAATGCATTCTAGGCTATAGAAAGAGGTAAATTCATTTTATGAAATATCACATGTTAAAGAATCACTAAACTTGATCTGAACGTTTGAAAAACGTGAAATACAGGCGAAGATTATACATAGTCACTAGATTTGACAATTTATAAGCATATTTTGAAGTAATACTAAAATAAACGTTATTAAAACAGAGAACTCATTGCAGAAACAGGAAACGCCCTCTATATTTCTATCAGCATTATTATTACAAAAAGATAGTAATATTAAATAAAATGTGAGGCTTCATTGGTTTGTTTGACTGACTTCAAGTTTTATTTTAGTTAAAGGACGTGAAAGAAACGTTCTAATTCTTGATTTATGAATACCAGGATATATTAATAGACAACAAAGCCTTAGAAAGCAATATAACAGTGTTTTAGATTCACCGAGGAATACTTTTATGTGGGAATCGAAAATTACCTAAAAACAAAACAACAAAATCAAGAAACATTACAATGTACATGAAAACATTATTTATCAAAAGCGAGATACAATGTAATTATTGAAAGGTTATTGTGTGAAATTTATGAT